GGCTAATACATCATGCTGTGAAGAATATGGGAGAGGGAAAATAGAGAAAGGCAGGACTGTCTAGTCTACCACCTCGGGCTGAGAGCATATAGAGAATGCGCGACTATTAATATTGTAATAAAGAAAGAGTCTGTATTATAATTGGTTGAAATACTGTATCCGCATCGCGCTAACTTTATGGCCTGATGCTAAGTTTGGTAATTTTTGATAATTAATGTCATGTGAGTGAAATTTACAGTATATGCACGTACAAAATATGACATTGAGTTTGAGATGAACACACAATCCCGGCGGTTAGAGCATACGATGAATTGGTGGAGAATCTGAAAATTAAGACTGGATTTAACAAGGAAAGATTGTATAATTCTCAGACATGGAAAATTATATATTAGAGGGTAGAACATTATTAGAGCTGTTAAAGCATGTTTCTGATTCTCTCCCGTTCTTTCCATTTTCCCCACCTCTCCTCTCGAATCTTTACACAGACTCACATAGACATAAACATGCTGCGCATTGGGATGAGAATGCCTCTCTAATCACTTTTCTCAAATCTCAACGACACATTACTCACTTCCACTTCTCCAATTTTGACTCTGATACATCCGAAATGATCTCGTATCCCATGCCATTTCGGGTTTCTCCAACCGATGTCGATTTCCGAGGTTGCGGTCCTTTGGACTCTATAGCCGAGTGTGATAATCTCTGATGGTTGTGGTTCGAAAATGTTGATAATTTGATGAAGATATAGTAGAGAATATAGTAGAAACTTCTTTAGTAATGTCTGGTGGTTATAGTAAAAACATCTTCATCTTCAATATCCATCATCCTCGCTTTAATAACGCGATCCTGGAATTATAAACCGACTTGCGTGTCGATACCAAGTCAAGATTGAAAAAGTCTGCTGCAAAAGCTAAATTAGAGAACATAGTCAAATTCAATAACCGAAAGGAATATACTCAATATACATTATCAGTTATCCTTACTCACATTCGGACATCAACATCTCTATTCTTTTCATGGATTCATTCTGATATTCTAGTGCCTAAATATAACAGCAACAGATGACATGTGAAACACTTGGAATAGATAACTTTACCCAACCCTTGCTGTCCGAGTTGCTGCTCTTCTTTTTTTCTTTATTATTATATCGATAAAATGCCCTCTCGTTTTCTTTTAATGTTGGATCACAAACGTACCTTGCATTTTCGTAAACCAGTGTTGTAGACGACAGTGCTACGAAAGCCAAGAATCAGGAATTGGCATAAAAAGTAAACTGGAATTTACTATTATTGATATCGCATCCATTGGACTCGGTCCATTTCTGTTGACAGTTAAAATGCTTCACAAGTTCCTGTAATTTGAGCTCTGTTGAATTTTTCTTGGCGACGCATGTTCCATAAATGCAGTACAACGGGAATCTTTCGCGAATGCTGCAATGAATCAGCACCATACAAAATTGGCAAAGAAATCAATACAAAGAAATAATGATTTTTATCGTTTGCATTAAATTAATTATTCGTGTTCATACAATTATCTTTGACAACCATTTGTTTTATCTTGCACGCGGTATTCTTAAGGAAGGTCATAGGCTCAGTTATGTGATATGGAAAACTTGTGATTGATTGTATACCTCGCTCCTTCTTTACTTCACGTCATCGTTTCGTGTACATTTGGGTATGCCGCGCCTTTCCTATGGTATATGTTGAAATCCGGTTAAATTGATACAGTTTTATAATTATAATATAACATGGTTTTTCTAGACGAAATCCGTTCAATGGGTGGATTATTGTATAACGGTAAATGGATTGTTACTCACCAGTTACCTGCCCTACCAAATTTGGTTACCAACTTTGCTTGAACGAAGAGTCTGCCTTAAAGAAGATATATCGAAGACTTCATTGAACCGGATAGTCACTGTATGAGCAATCATAACACTGTCCGTTATATCAATTGCAAACTGTGTCTTCAGTATCGTCATGGATATTCACTTCGATTGACCATTTTAACGCTTGTAGCATAATTAACATTCTCGTCAGGATATTCTGATATCCTGGTTGACTCGGTGTAGGAACATTTGATTCCAGCAATTGAATGTCTTCCTCAATAAGAAACAGCTTCTGACACCACAGCGAGCGTAACGTGAAATTCGGCATTAGGATTCGCAAGAGCGAACTAACGGATATGAATGTAAAGTTTGGCAAGTCTACATTATCCGGACTTCGTAATTCTTATGTTTCATTGAGTCCAGCCTGTCGTCAGATCGTTTCGCTATCCTCCGTGTCTGCACCCCTGTATAGCATACTGAGACAGGAGAAATCGCAGTATTCCAAATATTTCCGTAGTTGGGACGTCGATGTAGTTCATCATATCGTCAACAGTGGGATTGAAAAAGCCTTGATTTCTTCGTTCTGGATGGTTGATACTTGTACTTCCTGATAACTTCCATTATTTCGTAAGATGTCGGGAATTTTTGATTTTATAGATAATACAAATCCCATAAATAGTGTGCAGCCATAATCGCCATTAACGATAGTCTTTGGGGCTATAATAGAATTCACACTTGACTGACTGACGTCGATTGAGGACTTGCTTACACATGCAAGATAATGCTGTTACGTGTGACTCCCTTAATCATTCTATGCGCTTAAAACTTAACCGCAAGTCCAAGTCCATAAAGTATAGAACAGATAGGTAACATGCTCGCAACCCTACATCATTCACTTGGGAGCTGTATTCAGAAGATACGTTAATGGCACCGACCATCTGCGTGCGATAATTACAGAGATCCAGAGTGACAAGAGAATACATACTGTACGTGCGCCGAAGAGTTATTTATGTGAAAGCAGAACTGAAGGAGCAGAGGTATACAAATGAGGTCGTCGTAACGCACAGAATAAAATCTGCTCTTTCTTCGTTGCCTGCACAAACGTAACTTGAAGATACGCCGCGCCGATGAAATTCAAAGTACGCAGATAGATCTTACAACTAGCTATTTTCAATTACTCCTGTGAGCTGACCAACAAATTGCGACGAAGAGGGTCGAGCCCATAATTCTTTAGACGACATGTATATCTATAATAAAATACAATAATTTATTCTCTCAGTATCAATTCAATTATCCTTGCTATATAGAGATAATTCGTACTAGATCCTTCTGTTTCGACCCGTACTTATTAAATACAGAACATACATCTGTTAGTTCCAAAGTAATCGGACATTTCCATATGATGTAATTAATAAATACATGTTGCTGCTTGTAATGTTATGCTGAAACCAAGCAAGAAGATTGGTTAACACTATTGCCAGCAGTAAATTACAATAACTACTATCTAATATCGAAGCCATTAAACTCTCATATAATCCCCAACCATTGCTCATTACTCTCATTCGACTCTCACAACAATTCTATCACAGAAACAAGGACATCAATTACAAGTATAGTAGGGCTACTCACATTTCCAAAAAAAAAACTATCTTTTGGTTGTTTCGGTCTGCTCGATCTATAACCCCTAAAAAGGGCAGCTCCGAAACTGGTGTTGACTTGAATCCCCCAACGGCACGCTGATTTCAAGCGTTTCCCTTCCAACAATTTCACGTACTGTTCACTCTCTTTTCAAAGTTCATTTCATCTTTCCTTCACGGTACTTGTTCGCTATCGGCTTCTCAGGACTCTTGAAAGTTTGCCAGGACAAAAGCCAACGATGAATTCTCATTATCCCATAGTGTCGTATCCAGAACGTTGAGACAAAGATTGGATATCGTCTAGAATACGTATGAAGTTGCTAATGCTTAAATATTTTACCGGGGCTGTTCATCTGTATCGTTCATAATTGCATAACAGTCTGCTATAATCAGAATGCAACAATAACCACCATTTAGCATCGACCAGATCCCCAACACAATATAACACGGTTACGAATGTATCAACTCACCTTATCTCAGTCTTTAAATATTCGGCCCAAACGTCCAGTCGATAGTAATAATGTTATAGTATAGACTGTAACACAAGAATTCTCTTAATATGGTTGTCACGTCGATAAGCCATTAATATTAAGAAAAGATTCATGGATTACTATTTTGATGGTAAAGTTCTTATGCAAATAAATACTTTTCGAATAAATAGGGCATTTACTTACGCGTTATGGTCATGGTAGGAGATTCTCGAAATGTAAAAGTTCAAGTTACAGAAAGGAAGAAACCGAACTGTCATCAATTCCTTCTTCCTCATGCTGGGTTAGGTGCTTCTCCATCATTGCCTTCTTCAATAGCAGTGCTAGTGGGATATGATATAAATCTGAATCATCAAAAATCTCGTGGGGATAGACTCGGATGATGGATACTAGGAAACTGCCGCAAATAATTTATTCGAGACAAAGAATTGTTGTATAGAAGATGGAAGCGTAACTTGAGAATTTAGCAGGCAGTGCGCTTCTTTTGGATAGGTTGAACGAGCCTATTCAATCACGTGGGTCATCGTGGCTGATTGGGTTGTGGAAAGAATAAGCTCTAATAAATGTAAAATCTTAAAAATACCATTCTTGTGGTTTTAGATATATAAACAAATATTCGAATGTTGTTTTCACATAGAATCAGAGTCGGCAGTAAAGAAAAGCAAGGTTATTATACGGGTAGTTTGCATCAATTATCAAGAACTTAATCCACAAAATGTGATCGATGAGGAATTTGTATTACCAAGTTATTTTTTATTTTTATATCAACGCATACAAGAGCATAAAACGCGAGCTTGTTCTGTTATATTTTAATTTTTTTTTAATACAGTCAACTCTGTTTATACCGGAAATGTGTATACTGGAATCTCACGGACAGATTCTTGCGCACCGTTCGTTTCATATGAAAATTATTTGTTTATACCGGATCCGGAAGGACACAGAGAGCTACTGTATATATATAATTCGTAAAGAAAATACTAATCTTAATATTTGAAGTGACTTCAATAAATAGATTTCACTAGCTGGCTCTCCGCCTGGAAAGTTAACATTCACTATTCTTGAATTATTGCTTTCATTACGTCTTGCTGACGGTGTTGATCTAGATCCGCGAAAAATATTCAACTCGGCCAGAATTGCGAATTGCTATGTCACAGATGGTTGCCAACCGTCCACGGGAAGGAAATCATGTTATCGTTTACAGTAATTACCTCTCTCGCTCTGACGATAAGTAACATAACAAGCACAGGCCTTCGCTTCCAGTTTGCGCTTAATATCCACCTGGTTTTTAGCCTCGGCTGCTGATTTTACAGAATATTCGGCAAAGATGTCAAATTTTTGGCGGTAATCACGTCGAATGCTGGCCAATGCTTCACTGACCACTCTCTGTATTTCACGCAGCTTCTTATGATCCATCTTTACGATAGCGTTGACTATGAAACCTCGTATTCAGTCATAACACCATATTGATTCATCAGACCGCGTACGTCTGTACCATATGCACGTTTCGTAACGAGCGTCTTACATATTAATTAATATAGTTAGGAAATTTTGCATTCTGTGTTCTCTTGAGACATTTTACTGGGGTCTAGGGGACGTCACAACTTCTATCTCCAAGCGCCTGCCATGAAGACTTGGATTTTCTTTCCAAAACCATGTTGCTGGGGGAGATCTTCAGTAACGAGGGCAGGATAAATTAAATATTTGATATTAATATTCGTATCATTGTTACTTAAATCAATCAAACATACGCATTTAAATAACACACGAAACTTGCCTATAAACAACATATTAATATGTATATACTGTCACATTATATAGTGCCAACTTCTTTCGTGTCCATAGTAATTCTTTCCAGCTGACCGTATCCAGAGAAAGTAGCGGGAGCCGCACATTAGTTCTACCCTTCCGTGGCGAGGTTCCCCATTATAGAAGGAAGAAAGTTAATACAGTTGTTCATCCGTTCGGTGACATAATTTTATGCGTTCCGCCAATTTCCTTTTATAGAAATTTTTGAAAGGAGCTTATCTCAGGTAGCATTATCATCCCTCTTACAGAATGCTTCTATCTAGATCTGCATCTTGAAACTCCACTCATCTTTAACATATAAAAGAATACTGTCTTTCATATACTTCTCATTGCCTGATGCAGCGTCATAGTGGCCAAGCTATCGATTATATTGATTCGATGATGAATCACCTCTATCCACATCGTAATCGTAAAACTATCTTCACATGTAGCCTTATTTCCTACACTTCCTAGCGGCTAGTGCAGTTATGTCACATTAACCGAACGCGCAGGGAGATTGTTAAAATCGCATCAAAGTAGTTGAATAGATAAACAAGAGTTATAATGAGAGTTGAAATAATATTGGTTAATGGATATATGGTAAGATTTCATCCCTAATATCAAATATGAGCAATTTTCGGGTACCGTAGTTTCACTGCTTATCTGCAATTCACATAAAGTTCCTCGTGGATTTCACTAGTGAAATTTAGAGAAAAGCGTGAACATTACGGTCGTATTACAGAGGAAACCATCTATCCATATCATTTTCGATTCCACGGAATCTGCAATCTTGCATTTAGGTAAGAAGATAACCACGCGCCTTAATCGATTTGTTCAGTTAAAAAGCCTAGTATCGGGACGATATTTCTTTACCATCTCTTCTTCGACCAATCTATTGGATAAGCCTAAAGGATTCGCAAAGCTATTTTCGAGCAAAACGCCGAATGCCATTAACCATTTTAATTTATGCGTATAATAACTCGCGTAATAACTGCAATCTTTCTCTGGTATTTGTGTTATATTTCCAATACTGCCATCTAGAGTTCCTGTCCCAATTTATTTGACTCTATTAATATTAATATCCCACATTTGGTTTTATCTTTCGCCCACCCAGTTAGCTATATCGAACATCTTTTCCATACTACTCCCGGCTTTGCCAAAATCAGAATTCCTTCCGATATCGAACTGCCCACATACCCATTGCATCCAGTAAGGAGAGAATGATTACACGCTTAGGTAGATAAACATGGGAGGTCAATGTTAGGTTGATTCGATAGTAAATATAACATCATTATTACTTAAAGATCCACCTTACACGACAAGCAACACGTGTCTTTTAACAATGATTATATGAGTCATGTGATCAAAGGTGCCGGCAGATTTATCATGTGACTTGACGATATCCGCGGAAACACACATAAATTCACGTCTTCGACACAGCGCGCGGATGATTTCATAACTTGCAACATGCAGCAAAACCAAACTGAAGTTGAAACTTTCCAAATGTTCCTACCGGCTGGCGTGACAGCGACCATTTCGGGCTCAACAATTAGTTCATCATACGTCACCACCACCTACGCGGTGACGAAATTGCAGCCATCCAACACGAGGGAGGTATCTCCCTCAGAAAAACATCCCTTCGCCGACCATCCGGGTATAGGCGCTCTCTTAAAAGACATAATCAGTAAGCCTTATCATTATTACGAAACAGACGATATTTCATCACTCCTATCCGACAATAATAAACAAAAAACCTCTGAAAACACATCTAACTCTAACGCCAATGCCAGCGCTTACGACTCATCGTCAATACCGCGAGACGAACTATCAGAAGAAGAAGAAGACTTTAGTGATGATTCAATAACGGATAGCCCCGAAGTTGACTCGCTTCATCCTTCTATACATACATCAGAAGAATATGTTAGCGATGAATCAACAGAAGAATACTTTAGTGATAATCTGGAAGTTGACTCGCCACATCCTTCTCTACATACATCAGAAGAAGAACACTCCAGTGACGAATCAACACGAGATAATCTGGAAGTTGACTCGTCTTATCCAGAAGAACAATTTAGTAATGATAATCTGGAAGTTGATTCACCTTATCCTTCTCTACATGCACCAGAAGAAGAAGACGACTTTAGAGATCAGCAACCACAAGATAATCTTGAGGTTGACTCGCCAACATTAACAGACGATTCTGTTTCAACTCAGTCGCTTCTGCTATCTACAAATCGTATATCACTCGCACCAGAAATGCACAATGCTGTCATTGATAGCAATCTATCAATGACGTCGAGTCCTGCCAATCATTGGTATAGCCCAATGAATACAACGACATCGATGAATGAATCTACCTCATTCAATCCGCCACCAGCTGATATCATTGACGGCAGTCCATCAATGACATCGAATCCTGCCAATCATTGGGACAGCCCAATGAATACAACGACATCGATGAATGCTCCTACTTCACAATTCAGTCCACCGCCAGCTACTATCATTGACGGCAGTCCATCAATGACATCGAATCCTGCCAATCATTGGGACAGCCCAATGAATACAACGACATCGA